ATACATAAGAATTGTATGGTATGTGTGTAAATTTCCCAACATTAAAACATACCATTTGCATGATAAGGTGGAGGGAAGAATTGTAAATAGCAAACTGAAGCAACCACCAATCCTGAGAAACAATCAGAAAAAAAATCATGGCGATGAACTGCAACGAGTAAGGAAATCAACAGAAAAATCAATTGAATAAAAAATAAAGGCATAAAAAAACATAGTAAAAACCTAAAATTCCCCCTGCAAAAACGTCTTGCCAATGATGCCAATAGTCATCTACTCGAGAAATTGCAATAAGCGATGCACAGAGAAGAGGAACCAACACAATGCAAATTTTGGCAACATGGCCCCTCCGATTGAAAACTTGAATTTTACCAGCAAGGTACCATGCAAGAAAGCCCAAGCCAGCAAAAGACCCTGCATTTTTGAGAATATCATAACAAGTTATTATTGCAGAAATACCTTCGTAAATTCGCTTCTAAATATCTAAAAAAATAGTCAAAGAACCATGCCACAAATCGAATAATAATTCACAAAAGCTTTGAGGAAGCCATTTTATAAGATTTCTCACAGTTGATGCATTATCTAAACACTTCCATCGCATAATTCACATCAAAAAGAGAAAAAAACTCACAAGTTGAAATACAATTAGGCAATTTTGGAAGCATTGAAGCAAAAAATATCAAGCCATATGAAAACTTTACAAATCATGCATCAGTTATTTACCCATTTTTAGTTTGTTGCACTGAATGACAATTTCTCCAGTGCGGCAATATTGTTTACCATTACATTATTATTATAATGAATGTTTTAAATATTAAATAAACAAATTCAACCACTAAGTGGGCACAAATATTTTGTACTCACATGAAGAATGCCCACTAGGAAAACTCTTGTGCCCCTCCTTTATAACACTATTGTCCCCATGACATATAACACTGGTGGTGAAGTCATCATATCGCTGCATAAAAAAAATTTCAGCGCCTTGGTTAGCTGCCACATTCCGAATGAGAAAAAGAAAGAGACATTTACATAAATACACCCAATTCTTATATATTTACATATGTAACCCATAAACTTTAATTTTTACATCTATACCACCTAAATCCTT